TATTCAGGTTTATAATGTAGTTTGATTTCAATGCACAGAAAGCTAGCAACATCTTTGGTCAGAAGATCAGCTTAATCTTCAAAGACTGCTGCTTTATAAATTGTTTTCAGTTGTGATGAGGTTTCTGCCTCCCTCCCTCCCTTCCTTCCTTTTTTTTAAGTTCATATACTAAAACTTGATACTTGTATGCATTCAGCTCTGCAGTCCTTAAGCCATTTTCATCTTTGCAGTAGGTGATTAAAAGAAAACCCTGAGGAGCCTGAGATAACCTGAGTTATATGTCATTGCCAAGTACTTGGAATATTTCTACAGAATGGCAGTGGTGGAGAAATAAGATAGATAAGAAAAGCAGACAATGGAGTAAGACTCTTAGAGCACTTTGTAAGATCTTTCTCACCTGTTAAAATTTTTAAAACCATTTTTCCCTGAAATTATTCAACACATTATTGTGTATGGAGGCTATTATCAGCTTATTATCAACATGGAAATTCTCATTATTCCTCAGCCAATGCCTAGTTTCTTAGTATAGCCTCTGAATTATATTTAGGAGGAGCCTGTGGGAGAGCTGCTTCTGTGTTCTGGAGTCCTCGTTTGAACTCAGTGTGACCTCTCAGAAAAGCACTCTCATTTCCTCAGGCCTTGGTTTCTTCTATAAAGATATTAGATTGAATTAGCTAGCCTCTCAGGAAACTTTTATATAAAGAGAAAATTCATTCATTCATTCATTCATTCATTCATTCATTCATTTTTATGTGGTGCTGAGGATTGAACCCAGTGCCTCACAAGTGCAAGGCAAGGGCTCTATCATTGAGCTACATACAACCCCAGCTCTATGAGAGAAACTTCAGAATTTTGTGATTTCCAGGTTTGGGTAAGTTGACCTGTGTTGATCTTTGTAGTTGTGTATGAGTTAGAAACATTTATACTTTTCAGTTGTTGACTATTTATCTTTGATTTTTTTTTTTTTGGTTGTTGTTGTTTTTGTTTTTGCTTTTGAATGAAGGCTGTTGTTCCTGCCAATTAGTTGATTTGTTTTTTAATTTTTTTTTTTTTTTTTAGTTTTCAATGGACCTTTATTTTATTTATTTATATGCAGTGCTGAGAATTGAACCCAGTGCCTCACATATACTGGGCATGTGCTCTACCACTGAGCCACTACTCCAGCCCCCTGTCTGCCAGTTAGTCTATCAGTGCTATTTTCAGTTTAATTT